CGCGCGTCGCCCTCGCCCAGCGCGCCCAGGAGGGCTGGCAGCAGCGGGCTCACATGCCGCACCTGCTGGGGCAGGGACTCGTGGTCGGCGCCTCGCAAACCCCGGCCCGGCCCCGCCTGGCCCCCGGCCCTCACCTTCCCGCGATTCAGCACGAGGTGGCCGAGGCCCAGCAGTCCCAGCCAGCGCACGGTGGGCTCGGGGTCGCCCTGCCAGGTGCGGAGCCGCTCCAGGATGACCTCCTCCCGCAGGAGCCGTGCGGTGGGCCGGCTCTGCAACAGCTAGGCGAGACGCACGGCGTCAGCAGGCTCTCGGTCCCCGCGCAGGCAGGCGCCACCACACGGGGATCCGGTCCGCGGCCACCCCTCAGCTCCCATGTGGGACACAGGCTCACCCCGGTGAAGAAGGCCATAGCCGTGAGGCGCTGCGGGTCGTCAGCGCTGCGCAGCCGGGGAAGCAAGTCTGCGAAGAGGCCTCGAAGGTGGTGGTCGGCGTGCGCCACCATGGCACTGAGCAAGGCGGAAAGGGAGCTCTCCCTGCACGTGGGGCCTCACCCCTCGAGAAGCCCTTCCCCGACCACCCTTACGCCCCTGCCTCTTCCATCAACCCCTGTCCCCGCACCTGGCCAACAGCGAGCCTCCTCCTGGCCGGCTGTCCTGGGACCCCTGCTCACCTGGCCAGCAGCAGCACGCCCTCCAGGTGGGTGTGGGCTCCCACCAGCCTCCTCCAGCCTCCTGCCTGCTCCATGCATGTGACCACCATGCGGCAGCCATCCCCAGTGAGCAGGGCCTTCAAGGCTTCCACCGCGCAGCTGGAGGTGGAGGCAGCGGGCGAGTGGGCCGTGAGGGTCGGGAGGGTGCTGGGCCGTCCCCCCTTTCCCCGGTGTCACCTCTCACCTGGCGTGGCTGTGCGGTGGCCCTCTGTGGGACGGGGCCCAAGTCTTGGGGGTGTCAGGGGAGCGCGTGCCGCGAGCCAGCTCGTGCAGCTGTGTGACCAGCGCGAGCAGCAGGTGCGGGTAGAAGCCCCGCGTGGCCCCCACGCAGCCCGACACGGCCAGCATCTCCCCGAGAGCACGCGTGGCCTTTATACGAAGTTATGCGAGACGCACGGCGTCAGCAGGCTCTCGGTCCCCGCGCAGGCAGGCGCCACCACACGGGGATCCGGTCCGCGGCCACCCCTCAGCTCCCATGTGGGACACAGGCTCACCCCGGTGAAGAAGGCCATAGCCGTGAGGCGCTGCGGGTCGTCAGCGCTGCGCAGCCGGGGAAGCAAGTCTGCGAAGAGGCCTCGAAGGTGGTGGTCGGCGTGCGCCACCATGGCACTGAGCAAGGCGGAAAGGGAGCTCTCCCTGCACGTGGGGCCTCACCCCTCGAGAAGCCCTTCCCCGACCACCCTTACGCCCCTGCCTCTTCCATCAACCCCTGTCCCCGCACCTGGCCAACAGCGAGCCTCCTCCTGGCCGGCTGTCCTGGGACCCCTGCTCACCTGGCCAGCAGCAGCACGCCCTCCAGGTGGGTGTGGGCTCCCACCAGCCTCCTCCAGCCTCCTGCCTGCTCCATGCATGTGACCACCATGCGGCAGCCATCCCCAGTGAGCAGGGCCTTCAAGGCTTCCACCGCGCAGCTGGAGGTGGAGGCAGCGGGCGAGTGGGCCGTGAGGGTCGGGAGGGTGCTGGGCCGTCCCCCCTTTCCCCGGTGTCACCTCTCACCTGGCGTGGCTGTGCGGTGGCCCTCTGTGGGACGGGGCCCAAGTCTTGGGGGTGTCAGGGGAGCGCGTGCCGCGAGCCAGCTCGTGCAGCTGTGTGACCAGCGCGAGCAGCAGGTGCGGGTAGAAGCCCCGCGTGGCCCCCACGCAGCCCGACACGGCCAGCATCTCCCCGAGAGCACGCGTGGCCTGCGGAGCAAGCGGCCCACTCAGGTCTGGGGCGCGCCCGGAGCCGTGACGGGGACCAGAGGGTCAGGCGAGCCGCAGACGGGACGAGGACAAAGCCTCGGACAAGCGCGGGACGTTCTGGACTCGCGCGACTCAGGCGTGAACCTGCTGTCCCCCCGCCCGCCTGGGCGGCGGGACTCACTCGCCCCCTCCGGCCGCGCCGCGCCCCCTGGCGGTGAGGCCGGAGCCACCTACCGCCAGCGCCTGCAGCTGGGGCCCCGCCGCGCCCTTCAGCGCCCACAGCAGCTGCACCAGCACCTGCCCGTTCACACGCTGGTTCCGGCTGAGGCTGCGCCACAGCTCGGCCGCCGCCCTGGGGGGACGGGGGCCCAGAGTGAGAGGAGGGCCTGGTGCGGGGCCGGGTACTGAAGGGACGCCGCCGTCCCCAGGCCGGGGTGGAGGCGGCCGCTCGGACTCCAGCAGGGCAGGGGTAGGTGAACCATCCCCCACCTGCCCTCCCCCTACCCGTTAAATCCCGGGGAAACAAAACAAACGGCAACTGCGCAGACCACAACAGAGCCGGTCTTGGAGACCAGTGGCCCTGTCGGGTCAGCGACAGTGAAACAAACCTGGCGTCATGAAAAGTCACCGGTAGAGAATAAAACCAAAGATAATTTCTCCTGGGGCGATTTCACCAAAGAGCCAGGGGAGTTCAGGGCACGGAAGCCACCAGGCTCGCTCAGCCCTCCGGAGGGCACCCCAGGCTGGTGTCCCGGGGCGGGAACCCAGCATCCAAGACCCCGGGGCAGGAGGGCTGGGGGAGTTCGCTGCACTATAGAGAGGGTGGAGGCGGAGGGCAGAGGGCAGGGGACGGAATTCGGAGGCGCTGTCCCCTGAACAGCCCGCCCGCCCTCCCATCCGGGGACAAGAGTCCACGGCCAAGCGGGAACGGGGAAGGAAGCCGCGTGGGGGCCGCGGGCTGCGACCAGGCGGGGCGGGAGGGGCGGGTTACCGGTCCGGGGGCAGCGAGCGCGGCAGCAGCGCGCACACCACGTCCCGCGCGTGCTCCAGGGCCAGTGCGCTCAGCACCCGCAGGGCCGCCCGCCGGGGCCGCCCCTCGGCCAGGCTGGGCACTTGCGCCAGCAGCCCACGCACCAGGGCATGGACCTGGCGCGGAGGGGACAGACGTCAGCGGCCAGGCCTCCTCGCCCCCACCCCCCGTACATTAGCCTCTGTCCGGCACCCCACCCCCACCCGGCAGGAGCATCCCGAAGGGGCGCCTGCGGTAGGCTTCACCCTCCAACTCTCCACTTTGAAGCTGGACCCAGCATGAGTCTCTAGGGTACGAGGCGCTGACCTGGTCCTCCAACCGCTCCCCTCGGGCCTCCAGGGCTGAGGACAGGGTGAGCGCTGTCGCCTGAGTCCCTGCAAAGCCGGCCTCCTCCAGGCAGGCAGCGGTGTACAACGCAAGGTCAGCAAGGGTCCCCTGATCCCAGGAACGCTGAGGGGCCAAAGGCAGGGTGGTTGGGGCGTATGAAGTCCCCAAACCTCTCCCAGCTCTCCTCCCAGTCTCCCAGCCCTCCGAAACCCCCATGTCCCTCTCTTGCTCCCCAGCCCGTCTAACTCTCCAGTCACTTCCCGCAGCTCCCACCCCTTTTTTCCCCCAGCTCCAGCAGCCCTCTGTCCACCTAGGGTCTGAGTGAGCTCAGATGAGCCGTGCCCCCGCCCCGCCCATCCCCATGGCCTCCCTTCCCTCACCACTCACCTGCTGAGGTCCCTCAGGGGCTGGCTCCTGGGCACTGTGGGGGGAGCAGGGCTCACTGCCAGAGGTGGGGGCAACAGCCCCACTTCCAGGCTCAGCCTCAGAGGTGGGGGTGGCTGCCTGGGTCTGGGACTCAGCCTCAGGTTCGATATCCCTGGGCTCCAGCAGAGGGCCGGTGGAAGGGGGTCCCAAGGGCTGCCCTTGGCTGGCCCGGATCCCTTCAGCCAGAGCTGTCAGGGTCAGGGCCCCCACAGGGCGCCCGCGGGCCCGGCCCCACACACCCCCAGCCATGGCTGCCCCAGCCCTTAACACACTCCACTGCTCCTCCCGGGAAGTCGTGCCCAGGCTTGACCTAGAAGCAAGCCCCGGGCGGGACCACGGACAGGTGTGGTGGCGTGTGCGTGCGTGAGCGTGTGCGCTGTGTGTACTGGGGGGGGGAGAGCTGGGAAGCCACATGGATATGTCCTGGCCTGGCACCTGCTGTGGGCTTGTGAGGGGCCGTCGTGTCCAGGCTGCTGGAGGTGAGTGGCCAGCTGAGGCCTGTGCATCTGTGGCCTGGCCCCGCCCACGAGGGCTCTGGGAAGGGGCATGACCCCTGGGAGACGGTGGATCAGCAGAGCAGGGGAGAAGGGCCCTTGACCTTAACTTTCGGTACCCTTGGCTGGGGGCCCAGGGTAGTGTGTGGACAGCCCTGAAGAGGTCCCAGCAGGGTCCAGGAGTCTGGGCCCAGCCCTGAGCCGAGGCCTTGTCTGATTCAGACCTGAAGCAGCAGTCGGGTTTGGGGCTGGGCCAGCCCCCCTGCATTCCAGCCCAGCCAGCCAGCCTGAGGATGGGCACGACTGGGTGAACTGTGACCATCTCTGAGCGCGAGGCAGCCTGGGGATGGAGCAAACAGAGCAACAGCAGCCGCTGCCTCTTACAGGTGCCATCGTGGTTGGGGTGGGCTTTGTGGGTCCTGGCCAGTTCTGAGCTGGTGTTCCCCACCCCAGCTGGGTCCTTAGGAGTGCACAGCCGAGACAGGTGCCCCGTAGGTGGCTGGGGCATAGTGTATTCTGCCCAGTGTGTGTGCATATGAGTCTGTATTTCTCTCCCAGTTCATGGTCCCCAGGGCTGGCCTGACTAGGCCTCTGTCCCAAATCCCAACACCCCACCCAACCACACAGTGGGCGCTGCACAGCCCTGAGCCCCAGGAGCCAGATGAGCTGGTCCGGCAGAATACCTGGGCAGGCGGAAGTGCTCCCGGAAGCATCCCAGACAATCGGCATTCCCCCCACACCCTTGCCTGCCTGTGCCACCTCAGGCTGCCTGTAGAGGACAGGCCCAGGCCCCCAACCTATGTCTCCTGCCAAGCCTAGAACCTCTCTCCTGAGCGGTTCCTCTGGAGCCCTGAGATCACTAACTTTCCTGCATAAAGGCAGGGCCAGCCCAGAGCATGGCCAAGGGAACTGTGGCTACCCTAGGACCTACTGGCCAGGTGTCTGGAGGTGAGCCAGCTCCTGGAGCAACTCCCTGGCAAACTTCTTTGCCAGCCTTCCACCCACTTCTCTGGGCTTCTGTGTCAGGAGTTAAGGCTCTAAGGCTAGGGCTTGGCCAGGCCACGACAGATGCCAAGGTCTGGCACGGCTCGCAGCAGCAACAGCAGGGACAACCTGGGCTTTCCTCTTGGCTTGGGAAGCCTGAACTGTCTCTACTGACCTTCAGCCTGGGGGTAGTGCCCTGGGCAGATGTGGGAGCTAGGGCCATGCTTGGACACTCCATTTGGCACCCATCCCCACCCTTTGGCCCCACCCTTCCCAGCCCGCCTGTAGCAGGGAGAGGTCTCCTGCAGAGTCCCACTTTTGAGGGGGACACCCAGGCCCTCCCTCCACCTGTGGTTCTGTCTGCTCGTGTCAGATCGGGCTCCCCACAGCCCAGCTCCCGAGCCTGGGGTACGCCTCACCACCCTCCAGGCCTCAGCACAGGGCTGTCTCCCCACCCAGGCTGGGCTTGTGCTTTCCTGGGGTCAGGAACCCTTGCTCCGATTCTTGACTCCAGCCCAGCATTGGAGGCCCTGGGGGGCCAAGTGAGCGGCGGGCTGGACAAACAAATGACACTGACACGTGACAAGTTATGGGGGACAGAGAGTGACTCTTGTTGTCTCCAGGCAGCCCCGCACCACTGAGATTCTCACTGGGGACCTCCAGCACTCAGACTGTCCACTAGGGCCCGCAGCTTCTCAGACAGCGCCACCTGCAGGGAGAAGACGAGGGAACTGGTGGAGGCTGTGGAGGGCAAAGGGCACCCAGGGCAGTTGACGATGTGGACCCTCTGCCCACCTGGTACGGTGCAGGGCTCTGCAGCTGTCTGTGCGCAGGGCTGAGGCGGCTCAGGGACAGCTGGGCAAAGGCTCTAGACTCTGCCAGAGATGGGAGCGGCTCGCACAGCTGGGGGAAGAGGGAAGGAAAGGGGAAGCTCAAAGGCTGGCTCGGGGTCAGGGCTCATTGGTGATAAAAGTGCAGACTGAGGAGTGGGCAGGGGCAGTCACCTGTCCCTGCTGAACCCAGAGGCGCAGCAGCGGCTCCACATGGGCTGGCATCACAGTACAGGGCTCCTGGGCCCCTAGAGGCCAAACTCTCAGCTCCTGCCCAGCCTGGGGCGGTGGCTCTTCTACCAGCTGCAGCACGTCCAACAGCATCGACCCTGTGCAGGTGGGGGCAAGAATGATGTGGAGGACCTGGGGCTTTCAAGGGGGACAACAGGGCAGTGGGAGGGGCTCACCATCAGAGCCCAGGAGCCGGAAGGCGGCCTTGCTCCCGGGCAACGTCTGCTTCTCGGGGTCCTCGGTCAGCTTCATCCGTGGCTGGCCTCCCACAGATACCAGCTGCAGGGAGAGGGTGTTGGGATGGCTGAACCCTCATCCGCTACCACCCAGGATCCCCCAGACTCACCCCCACCTGGGCCCCTGACACTGTCCCCACCTTGTAGACACAGCCCAGGGAAGGCTGTTGGGGGCAGGTGACCACGCTGGTGCCAATGCCAATGACGTCCACCTCACTGCCCTGGAGGGGAGAGGAGGTGGGACAACCCAGTCCAGCTGGGACCTGCAGGGGCCCTAGGGCCCTCCCAGCTACCCTCTGCCTGCCCTCTCCTCCACCCCACCTCCTGGGCCAGCCGGGCCAGCGCCTCCTCATCAACGTTGTTGCTAACTGCGATGGGAACTGACTCCAGCCAGGGTATCTGGAACCTGCAATGTGGGTGGAGGGGGAGACAGCCCCTCAGATGTTCCTGATTCACCCTGGTCTCCCTCCGTCCTGTGAGCCACACCCACCCTCATACTTTGCTTAGGATTCCCGTAGGTGACCCCACCCCTCACCTCCCTGCCAGGGCCTGCCATGCTGTTTCTGAAACTAGACCAGAGTTCCTGATTGCCCCATCCCCATATCCCACCTCCCCAACGGGTTTCCCAGCAGGAACACCCCCTCCTGGGGGAACTCACTGGGCCGCAATGGTCCGGAAGACCCTGCGGGTCTCCTGGGCCTGCTGAAGCAGGTCGCCACTGTCCAGCCTCACGCCCACTGCCCGGTAGCCCAGCTCCCCCAGTGCCAGGGCTACCGCCAGGAAGTTGGGCAGACCACTCCTGCAGACATGCACAAGGGGATCAGGGGGCTGCACTGCTGTGCAGAGCCCACCCCTGGGGGAATGCCTGGGACTCACCTCTGCACACTATAGGAGTCCAGCAGGCCCTGGAAGGCCCGGGGAAAGGCCAGAGCATAGGCCACGAAGGCCGCCCGCTCCCCAGGGTGTGGCTCCTGTGCCCCCAGCCCCAGGTGGGCACAAACGCGCTCCAGCCACACTTTTACGCTGGCAGCCAGGTCCACCCGGGGGCCCTTACCGGCAGCTGGAGCCAATGTCTGTGGAGAGGGGTCAGTGACCGATGGGCCCAGAGTGCAGTGTGAGGCCTGGGTTAGCCGGGCTCATCCTGGGCTGAGGACAAAGGTGACGCGGCCTGCGTCCCAGCTTCCCAGGCAGAATTAGGGCTACCTGCCAGGGCGCCCCCACCAGGGTGCACACCTGCGCCTGGCCCACCCATCCCCTGGACAAGGGCTGGCTTCGGGGATCTGCCTCTGGAGTTCAGCTGGGGTGAGAAGTGCTACTGACCGGGTCAGGGGGCACCTCACTGCCTGAAAAGGAGGTGACGAAGGAGTGGGCCAGGGTCCCGGCCACAGGCACGCCCCGCAGCTGCCCGGCCAGCACGTTGCTGCTGCTGTCGAAGCCTGGGCGAGGGAGTCAGTCAGGCGGGATTGGGGGACCCCGGGGGTTGGGGCCGCCGCCTTCTCCAGCCCTGGCCCTGCCCCGCCGCAGGCGCTCACCGCCTAGGTAGCTGTAGGTGGAGGCCGTGAGGCCCCCGTCTGGGCCCTGAGCGCGCCGCAGCCCCAACTCTAGCAGCCGCTTCTCCGGCCCGGCTATCAGGCGCAGCCGCGCTGCGTTGGTGGCTACGAGGCTGTGGGGACCAAGGGGCCAAGGTGGGGGTCAGGAAGCCACATGAGCGGGCGGCGTTGCTGGGGCCGGGGGTTCGGCCCCAGAGCTCCACCCTCACCCCTCGCCCGGCCCGCCCTGGGCCCCCACGTGGCGGGGCGGCGGCCGGCCCTCGAGGGCCCGCCCACCTGGCGTAGCTGAGCAGGCAGAGCAGCGGCGTCTCCAGGAGTTGCAGCAGCAGGAGCGGCCCCGACACCTGCAGCAGCGGCACCTGCGGGGAGGGCGGTCAGTTGCGCGCAGCGGCCCCGCGCCGCGCCCCA